ACATCTGATTACTAGCTCATATTAGGGTTCATACTGACACATCAAGAACCCAAGAAACCCTTCACTTGGGTAACCAATTCTCCTGCAAAACTGTCTACTTTATTCACATTAAGACTTAAAAAAATCATCAGGATGAAGTATCAGAAGTCAACGGATGAGGGTTTTGAAGATCCACAACTTCCCGACGACCTGTCCGAGCTCCCATCCGAGCCATTACTAACTGGTGCTTGATTCAACGGTTCTAAAACCAACGATCTTCTGCGTTGCAGCTTCAAAGAGAACGTTCTTGCTTCTGGAATGGTGGGAACCTAATCAAAATCCCAGGTTACTCCAAGGAAATGTAGAAATATTCTCCAACTCCCATCAAAAGTCAAAATATGATACTTATCCAAGAATATTACCCGAAGAAGGTTATTATGAGAGTCAAAGTAGCTAGTTGTGGGTGGGTACCTGGGTGTTGAGCTGTGCAACTTTATGAACCTTGAGAAATCCAACCATATCTTGGTAACCAGAGAGGAGCTGTGCAAGGTTCTTGTCTTCATCTGATAACAAAAAAAAAAAAAAATGCCAATTCTGCATAAGAAGCTGCTAAATAATATGCAAAAATATGAACACTTTCAAGAACAATACCTTGGATAGCGCTGACAGATAGGAGAGTATCTGCCAGATGCTTCCATCTCACAGAGAAGGAAGGCGGAAGAACAGAAGCAGGGAAACTAAGGACTGCAACCCCATTGGAAGCTCGTAGCGCAGCTTTCAGGGACCTGATGAAGGAGATCATATCCCAATCCTGAAAAATGAATGAAGGTTTCAACCATTGGATATCCCAAGAGTTTGCTCAAGGAAGAAACTCTGAAGAAGCACACAACACAGTTAAAAGTACCAGTTTGGAGAAACCACATTGCGGGGCACAAAGAGATTGTATGACAATACGACCGGCACACTGGATCCCGCTATCATTTCTGTATGTCAGACCGAATCTTACAATACAAAGAAGTAGTAAAACCGCATCAAGTTAAAAAGAACCAATCATATGCATCTAGAGCAGGCATAGAGAACCATGGAATCTAGAGAGAAGCCAGAACAGAGAAACTGAAGTTATTGAAATGGCAGGTACATTCTGCAGCATTAAAATTAGGCTTGGCAGAAAATTTTGATAGAAAATACCGTCTCAGGCTTTAATATAACTAAACTGTCATATAGTTCTATCGAAACTATTCTCTAGGCCAGGGGATACAATCATGCCGCAGTAGCCCATCACTATAGCTGAATCATAAGTTGTCAACAATAGTATTTCCACTATGGATTGTTGAAATGGTTTAGCCAAATTTATCCTAAATCATGGGAGAAGGTCACTGCTGGGCCATAAGCCACTGTTAGCACTTCCGCATTGGCTATTAGACCAGGGCTTCATAGTATTTCAATAGCAGGATGTCTAAATATTTACAAGAATCCTCTGTTTTCGGTCAGCATCGAGGGAGAGTACCATAAGCTAGGCAAAGGGAGTGGGCTAAACGGGCACTTCCCATTCAAGAGAAACATTCAAAGGATAAGATGTGCAATGGTGGGTTAAAATGATGGCTGTCAACAATGCAGACCAACGGTGGACACGATGGTACAAGTGAACTAAACCCAGCTTCCCTACATGACAGTGCACGCCCTTGTATCTCTCTTTTGCAACAGGCGCACTATTTGGAATATGATAACCCCAGTGATCTTCACATTGGTCGGCGGCACCCAATATAATCTTCTTGAAGGAACCATCGGAAATATGTTATCATCTTAAGGATCTTCCTTCAGTAGTATTAGTCTTGCCTGTTCTCAACGCTGGGGAATCAGAATACCTTCATAACACAGAGAAACAAGAACGAAATTGAAAATGTGGAGATGAGAGGAGCGAGAAAGGGGACATCCCAAATACCAGTTTGTTTTATCAAATCTACCATCTCAAGCTTGGGAAGAGTAGTAGGAACCACCAGCTGCTCTCCTTGGCTGCATTTCTTTTTTTCAGTTTGGCTGTAGTCAGGTTCGGACAGACATAGAATGGCCCTTCCCCCGCTGTGGAAGCCATCCCCCCCCCCCCCCAAGTCTCTCTTCCTCAAAACTCAACAAACCATCACCATGGAAGGGAGTTTCTCTTCTCCTTGAGTCTTCATATTTCTATGTTTCTTATTTTATCTCTGTTTTTAATGTGATTACTGAGAACAAGCAATGTTCTATCTTCTCTGGATTACTGCTTGAAGCACCAAAGCTGTCTATCATATTCACCTCACCTCCTTTCTTTTTCTTGGTGGATTACAGCTTAAAGCCCACCACCAGGTACCCAACAGAAGTAGAGTTCAATGTTACAACTCTTTTCCTTCTTCCTAGCCGACATGACATTTTGAAAGTGTCAACCCTTTAAAACATATCAAGGGGGGAATCTTAGGGTTCCACCATTGGATGGGCTCCCCTTGGACGGTTAGAACGTGAATGGTCAGTAAGACAAGCATCCCCAAAAGAGATTCACCTTCTTGAGAAGCTTTTTATTGGATTGATGATAAGTATGCTACTTGGAGGATGATAAATGTCCGATTTGGCATGCTTGACATGCGTGTATGACGATAAATTTTAGCATGGAGCAGCATCAGAAGTCTTTTGAAACCAGTGAATACAAATCGATAAGGACCAGCAAGAAGCATGAGAAATCTCTGAGAACATGTATCATGAAAAAGCACTATTGATAAAAAAAAGTCTCAAATATTTTCTAGAAAATATATCATGAAAAATAAACAGTAGCATACTTCTGAAGTCGAGATAAAAATGCACAGCAATGATCTAAGAGAGATCCAAGATTTGGATAGTCCTGCACTCTGGCAGACTCAATATGCTCTCCAATGAGTAGGTGCTTATCCAAGGGTTTTCGCAAGTCAAATTCACACGAGAACTCTTTCTTGTCTGCAAAATATGATATTTTCATCAATATCCTATAAACAGAAAAAGGTTGAAAGGATAATTTTCTCGAATTCACAGGATTGGTGTTGGAATCAGCTCAAAGGAAACAAGTAAGAGGTAGAAAAACACCAAAGAAAATTGTTCTTTCGCAAAAAAAAAAAAAAAAGCAAAAGAGGGCATGGAATAGCGTCTTAGGTGTTCTGCAGTATTTTAACGGGATATTTCTTCCTTTGCATTGCAGTGAGTTGCAATGGCAAAGATTGAAAGAAAATATTTGCTAGACACAGAACGAAGGAAAAGGGTATAAAAATATAAAAAAAATCATTCACTAAAATAATTCCCAGTACATTCGACCAGAATGTATCTGAAATTCACTGTATTATGTAATAAGAGCAGGCATAAGAAATTTCAAACGAATTTTTAAAATCAAATGATTTTTTTTAATGTCGTAGCCCAAAATATGCCATGTTTCTGGAAATCTTTGGATAGAAATGGATAACACAATTAGTTATAATAGTCAAGCCTCCAAAAAAAAAATTAATATGATCAGTCAAGAAAGGGAAATCGACAGAGTATTTCATCATACCAGAAATAAGATTAGATCTTCAAAGTCTATTAGCTTTATATTAAGGAGATTTTCTTCCGAGTTTGTTTCGCTTTTTAATTTGAGTACGAGTTGCAAGAAACCCACATGGCCAATCATCAACTATCACATTTAATGAAAATCAATTTAACTGCAAATATCATAGGCAGAGGTGTCAACATAAATTCAAGGTTCTAATCCCAGATGTGGTGCAAGAAAGAACTCCAAATGCTTACACAAATAGTGTTAAATTTTCATTTAGAAGACATCGTACCCTCTTCTAGTAAGCTATTCCACGCAACATAAGTAGAGCTTTTTCCTTTTTCCCAATTACCTGATGAGCTGTTTCCTCTGTAATACCATGACCATATTTTTAACTTTAAATAGGGAAATCAAAACTGAGAAATACCACCCTCAAGATAGATCTATTTTCTAAAAAAAAAAAGTATAATCCATTTTTCAGCGTGAAATTGTAATTTATAACTAAAGACTCCACCCAAATCCGATTCAGCACAAACAGAGTTGAGAAAGGCACAACAAGAAAAGCTCATAGCAAGTCACAGTTGGGGAGTGGAAAACCATGGAAGCAAGAGGCCAGACGATACAGAGAGCAGGAGTAACGTGTAATCAGAAGCAATCACGTGGAAAATCAGCCAACTCTGAAAAGCTGCATGAAGAAATTTTCTAGTTGACTCATGCGGCATATAACTATGATGGTTGACAAGGGAGTTGGAGCCTCTCAAGTGCCACCTATGAAGCAGTTCATCCGCACTTGCTTCGTCAAAATAAAAAAAAAGGAAGAACCATGAATAGGAGGCTTCTGGAAGGAGAATCCAACAGTGGGAAGCAAAAGGTATCTGGAGATGTTGCATGAAGAGAGGAGGCTGTATCTTTAATCATACGACAATGGCCGTTACGTAGTAGTTAAGTCTTACATCATTACCCATACTATTCATTACCCCGAGAGTAATATTTCCAATTTACTATCAAGCTGTAGAGACCAAGAGTACACATTTTTTTCCCAAATACAACTTCAAAGTGGAGGACAATCCCCATTGATGAAACAGAACTCGAGTCGCCATCTCACTCTTCCACATAAAAAATCAACATGACAAGATTTGAGAGTCCCAAAAATCAATGTATGCATGACAATGTATGCTTGAGAGGTGACCCAATCGAAATGAAGATTCTTTCATTCATGATGTTACAAACTTTTTCGTCAGGCATTCAGCTCACTCTGGAGTAACTTCCAGGAGGTGACACTAGAGGCTCCGGACAATGTAAGATTCGTGTCTGAATGAAGGTCTTTGCTTTGTAAAATAAGAAGAATTAAGAAGAAAAATAAGAATCACTGTCCGATTTAGTAAGAAAATGATCCACTAAATAATCTCTGAAGTGCATCCAATCATCTTGGAGTACGTTGTACCACCATGCTAGTGAGAGAATTTAATGCATACTAAACTGCGAAATCAGAGACTCCATCCAGGATGAAACACTACTTCCAGCAGAGAAAAGTAGAAACAGAACAGAGATGGCTTCTTGAAACGAAAGCGTTAAAAAGATGTCATTAGAAACAGCCGATTTGGTCAATCTACCAAATTCTATTAAAAGTGACCACCAACTCCGATGACGAGGGTCAACATGGGAACAAAGAGCTGGGAGACTAATGGTGGCTGGAATGAACAGCACAGCTGGCTCTCCCACACAGCTTTCTCACCTCCATTGTTACCCTGTGGCGCGTCCTTCTGCGGCCCAAAATACTTCCTGTACTGCCATGCGATCCTCAGTCCCTTTCCACATCCATAAACCAAAGTCAGACACGAGGAAGAACAGAGAAAAGAGCCGTTGACCAAGAGCTACGGAACAAGGTAGACAGGAAGAGAGGAGAGAGAGGCGACAGCGAGATGGATACTACTACCTGTGGCTGCAGGTGATCATCTGCGGCGGGGAGCACTATCCCTTTGGCTAACTGAGCAGAAGAGGAGGAGGCGGAGGAGGAAGGGGACGACAAGGGGCTGGGCAAGGTGCCCATGAACGCCCGGGGGTCCACAGTGGAGCTGGCGAACAGCAGCGGCTGGGTGTGGATGAGGCCCTGAGCCATGAAGTTCCTAAGAAGAAGGAGATGGTGGGGAGCTTCAGCGTCCTCTACGATCATCACCAGGCTGCCCAGGAGGAAACCCCCACCCAGAATCGCTGAAAAACCAGACCCGCCATTAGTAGTTTCTTCTCCCTCCCAAACCTTCGGAAAAAACCAGGGAAGGTGAGAGAGATGCAGTACCGTCGAGGGTGGGGATGCCGGAGGAGACGTAGAGAGCCGCGTTTGGGCCGCGCTTCACGCCGGCGGCGGCGGCGGTCGCCGGAGAGCCGCCGAGAGAGGTCACCGAAGGGTTTGTTCGCCGGAAGCTGCTGCTGCCGGCGGCGGCGGTGGCCATGGCCGGCGGCTGCCTCGTCTCGCTTCTCTCCGGCGCCGCCGCAGTTGGGCTTAGTTCACCGTCTGGGTTACTTCCCTCGGGGGAAAAAGGCTAAACTTTAGTGGGTCCTGCCATTTTCAGACCCATGTCGCCTCAGTTCTGACGAAAAACTGAGAATTGGGCGGCGAGTAAGCGAAACGAATTCCTCTGATTTTGGGCCCAATATTTTTTTTAATACGAGGGAATGGACCAGTGGATGATGCGAGATGGGCATAAGGTGAGATGTTTTGCCCATGATAAAAGAATCACATGTTGACTTTTCGCTGAAGCGCTTGAAACTTGCGGTTGACTTTGAGAAGCGAAAAGTCAACTCTGGGGCACGGCCAGCGGACCTGCCTACTGTGCTGAAGGGTGAAGCGAATTCTTCAGATTTTGGCGCATACTTTTCTTTTCTACAAGCTCGATTCATCCGCGGATGATGCGAGGTGGACATAAGGTCAGACGTTTCACCCATGATCAAGGCATCACCCACTGACTTTTTCTATGATCCGCTGGCAACATAGGGGGTGACTTTAGGAGGCGGAAAAGTCAACTCTGGGAGAGAGTGAACATAGCAGGTTTTACTCTGTCGAAGGGTGAACGAAGATGGGCCCGCGCGCAAGGCGCCGGGTCGGTCGTCACCTTCAGGTCTCCGGATAGATATCGGGAGGAGGAACCATGAATGACGGGTATTTATGTATATAATCCTGCCCCTCCACAGGAAGAAGAGGAATTGGACGACATACTCCGGCGAGATCGCTGACGGCCATCTCCGTCACCATCGCAGCCGCCGTCGCCGTCGAGATTCCGGTGAGGGAGGAGATGGGGGAGGGAAAGAAGAGGGCGCTGATGGTAGGCTGCAACTACCCCGGCACGAAGGCGGAGCTGAGGGGATGCATCAACGACGTGATGAGGATGCGCCGCTGCCTGGTGGAGCGATTCGGCTTCTCTGAGGAGGACATCACCATCCTCATCGACACCGACGATACCTTCCCCATGCCGACTGGCGCTAACATCCGCCGCGCCATGGCGGATCTGGTCTCCTCCGCGGAGCCCGGGGACTGCCTCTTCTTCCATTACAGCGGCCATGGAACTCGCCTGCCGGCGGAGACCGGCGAGGACGACGACACCGGCTACGACGAGTGCATCGTCCCCTGTGACATGAATCTCATCACAGGTAGAACATCGTCCCCCCTTCCTCTTTATTTCCTCTGATCGACCATTCCGATCCGGTGTTTTCGATCTGCGGGAAGAACGCATTCAATTGGGAACGGACGGATCCCACTTTCGGAAACGAGCGCTGGTGAATCTGGAATCCGGATGATCAAAAGTTGGAGATCAGCCCTCCAATTCGTCCAAGTCCTACAAGAATCGGACGAAATCCTCCACCCTCCCTAGATCATCGCATACTTCTGTAGATCTCCTTCACAATTCTCTCGCAATTGTTTGTAGTTCTTGAGGATCAGATGCTTCTTCCTAAAAAATTGGCGTCCTTGAGATTTTTTCCAAATCAGGAATTCTAAGCTCTAGTCCTTCTGCGATCCTGCTAAATCTTGGGCGGGTTTTCATCAATCTGGGCATCCTGCCGCGTCATCACGGAATTTGTTTATCGATCGGAAATAACACAATTATCCAAAAACTCTCCATTTTCTGTTCTTCGGAGTGTTCATCGATTCAAAAACCGGCCATTTCTTCTTCCATTATAAGACCGAGTGATGATGATTCTGTGATCATGCAGACGAAGATTTCAGGGAGTTCGTCGACAAGGTGCCGAGGGACTGCCGGATAACGATCGTCTCCGACTCGTGCCACAGCGGAGGGCTCATCGAAGAGAGCAAGGAGCAGATCGGCGAGAGCACCGCCGCCGGCGAGGAGAGCTCCGGCTTCGGAGGGTTTGGGTTCAGCAACATCCTGAAGCAGACCGTCCAAGGCGCCCTCGCTTCACGGGGGATCAACTTTCCTCTCGCCGGCGGCGACGGCGGCGGCGAGGAGGTCGCCGGCGGCGTCAGGAACAAGTCCCTCCCTCTCTCCACCCTGATCGACATCCTGAAGCAGAAGACCGGCAAGGAAGATCTCGACGTGGGGCAGCTCCGAACGGCGCTGTTCGACATCTTCGGCGAGGACTCCAGCCCTAAGGTCCAGAAGTTCATGAAGGTCCTCTTCAACAAGCTCACCACTGGCGGCGACGGCGACGCCGCCGGCGGCGGCGGATTCATGGGCATGGTCGGGGGCCTGGCTCAGCAGTTTCTGAAGCAGAAGCTGGACGAGAAGGACGAGAGCTACCTGCAGCCGGCGGCGGCAGCGGAGGTTTCGAGCTCTCAGGAGGTCTACGCCGGAGCGGCGAAGCGGGGGCTCCCGGACAGCGGGATTCTGATCAGCGGCTGTCAGACGGACCAGACCTCCGCGGATGCGAGCTCGCCGGAGGATCCCAGCGACGCGTACGGAGCTCTGAGCAACGCCATCCAGAAGATCCTCGCAGAGACAGAGGGGCAGGTCTCAAACCGAGAGCTCGTCACCAAGGCCAGGGAGCTGATGGTACAGCAGGGATTCTCGCAGCGCCCCGGGCTGTACTGCAACGACGAGCATGCCGACGCCCCCTTCGTCTGCTGAAGAGGACGAAGACCGGGAAGAAGAAGAATAAGGTGAAAGAAGATGAAGAAGAAGAAGGCCGCCATGAAAGTTGTCTGTGAGTGCGTCTCCATAGCATGGCTGGGACGTTGATGAAGGATTTTCTAGGGTTTCGCCATGGGATCGGATGGAATAAAGCTGTTCCCTTGCAGCAGCTGTGTTGTTCCCTTGGTATGTATGAGTTCCCATTTAATTTGTGAAGCTAGACTGTAAGTACTATTGAGATCTTCCTCTCTTTATTTCAAGAACCATCTTCCTTTCTTTATCGTGGCATTGTAGCCTGAACTCCTCAAGGACTTTGATTGAATTGACATGATATCATGAATGTGAAATGTCAATATCTTCTTATCTTGGGAAATCTTGCCCTTGTTGGCCCATAGATACTAAATTACAAGGCTCCCTGCATTGCATGAATACAGGGCTCTAAGGAGATTTTGTTGATCCTATGGTATGCTAGATATGGTGTGGGTGGGGGGGGGGGGGTGTAAATAAGTTCATTGAAACAAAATTGTGCTTTTCATTCGTATTTATCAATTTTCCCTAACTTGTCCTAACTATGTCAATACATGTTGGTTTTAAGAACATGGATCAACACACGACCACCAAATATAAATGGATAGTAAATCACTTAACATGAGAGATTTCACAAGTTTTCTCCTTCCACTGGACATAACTGCATTAACTTAGGTTTTCTCATTTATTACTATCACTCTCCTTATAATCTTCACACACAATAACAAGAATAGAATGCTTATAACTAAGTATTGAGGCTAAGTGGATATACTTCCCTGATTTAATGGGTGTTTAGATGTTGAAGACATCTTTAGTGTAGCTGTACTTGTACTAAAAAATAGATGTGGATTTTCACCATAGTTAGATAGTTGATGTGGCATTAAGGTGTTTTTTAACTACTCTCGAAAGGGCTTTTGACAAAATCAAAAAGTTTAATTGTTGAAATTCAAAATTATAGAGATTCAATCAAGTAAATATCTTTTTGGTTGACTCTTGTTAAAGCTAGATTTTTTATGTTTAAGTAGTTTATTATTTTAATTTGTGTGTGTTAACTTGCATAATAAATACAAAAATATATTATTAAGTTGGAAGTATGAAGTTAAAGGACGACATAATTTTTAATTTTTTAAAATATAAGAATAAATTAAAAAAATCTCCACCTATTGGCAAGTTGGCACTTGGTAGTTGACCTTAAGGGGCACTACACTCAAGTGGGTGCACCTAGACTAGAAGGAGCCATGAGTTGTGCTCAAGTGGCACATGACTTACTTCACACATGTATGCATCACTCTCCTACCATATCCTAGGGGCCAATTGGTCATGGAGCAAGGAGTGTCATACATACATGTGTGCATAAGGGCAGACCACTTATTGCCTTCTCCCAATATAGTCCTAGACATTATTTTTTTCAGGAGAAGGGATTTTGTACTACCTTTGATATATATTCATCTCAAATGTTGAAACACTTTCAATGTGGGACTAAACCTTCTTGTTTGTTTTAGGACAACAGTTTGAGGTCGTTTGAACTAGCGGCGCTCAACAAGTCACATGACCAAATAAGGTAGATCCAGTGGTAGACAAATCGTCATGATACTCGAAACATATAGTATTCTGTTAGTGGTTTGTAGATCTTATGTCACTTAGCATGCTATATGATAAGAAATGATGATCTGATAGTGAACGAAGCACCACCATACTAGGAACTTAAGTTCTAGATTGTTAGTAGTTTGTGGTTAGTTAATCTCATGACGTTCAACACGTCACATGACTAGAGACAACATATCTGATAGTAGTCAAAGCACCACAATACTAGAAACTTAAGTTCTTGCACGTATAAACATTACGAATATAAAGATAGTTCTTGATTATTGTATAGTAAAATAGAGATTATTGACTATCTTTAAAATCTCGACAATAGTCATGAAGATGGCATCCGTTCTTTTCTCCTTTTATGCAATCAATGCCTTTTGCAATTGATAAGCTCATTTTTTCTTTTCTCGACTACATTCAAGGCCTACAACAAGTGGTCAACTCTTCCCTTCTCCCCCTAGACAATGATGACATCGTAGTTGATCCTTTTTTTGATAGATCTTTTCGATAAGCAACATAATGCTTCTAGATGATACTTCTATGATTTTCGGCATGGTGTGACACATCTAGATGAAATCAAGCTGCCACACTAGTGTCTCCAATTACTCAAGAGATAAACTAAATTTAGACAACGATTTTTTTTTTTTTTAATATTTATTTATATTTAATGACAAGTTATTTCTATTTTGTACATATTCTGATAGAAATGAGTAGAACTTAGTAAAAATTTGATGATTGATCTTCTTTCTTTTTCTAAATCTTTTAAAACTTGTTGAGATCAAGCTATGATCATGTCAAACTTATTTTCTATTTATTTTTGTAATACAATCTCGAAATATTCATATTATTGGTGTTCCACAAATAATGATTATTTTTCTGATTTTGAATGTGAAATCAGTGAGATTAAAAGCTAATTAATAAGCATTGAAGTGTTAAAATAAGGTGGAGATATTTACGGCTGACTTTATATTCATGTGTGTTAATTCATGAACACACATTTGTTTGATAAACATAGTCAACTCAAGTTGTGTAAAACTAAATCATTGTAAAAAGAGCTGACCATTGTTTCTCTCTCCTAATTATTCCTTTGATTTTCTCTCTTCCTCTTTGTTGTGAGACCTTTCTCTTTTTGTCTCTTATGAAATTTTTCTCCCTCCCTCTCTTTCTCTCTTTCTCTCTCTTTTGTGAGAGATCTCTTCTCTTTCTTTCATGAGAGCTCTCTCTTCTCTCTCTCTCTCTCCTTTCCTATTTCCCTTCTTTACCTTCTTTATTCTTCTCATTTCTCACTTCTATTTTACTCTTTTTGTTAAAAAGTGATAAAATATTATAATCATTCTATATATAAACTAAATTAATTTTTCATGATGAATTAATCAATCTCCTTAAGTTTGATTTGAGACACATCTATGCTAATATCTTAGTATATCTTAATTATAAATATTATTAAATAATAGGCATTAAACACAATGATAAGTGCGCATCAACTCTTATGTTAGCCCAAAGAATATTCAAAGATGTACAATGTCTCAAGAGTTTGTACCCATATTCAAAGATACTCTAGCATCTGTCAATATGTAATGGGATGTCTAATGTATTAGATCTCTCAAATAGAATAATCATTTCTATCTTGAGATTTCATTCACAAGTTGCTGAGCTAACATATTGAATATTTTATGGTGAGCCTCTCTATCCTCAGTTTCATTTAGTGATTTCCAAGTTTGCATCATATGGTTGCTGCACCCACTCTCTTATAATCATGCATCATTCCTTGTTTCATTTACTTTGATACAAGAAAAACAAAATTCTTGACTCTTTTGACTTTTTTTTTTTCTACAACATTAGTTTTTTCATTTGATTTCTTTTCGATAACAACATTGAATGTTGAACTGACAGTCATATAACCTTATTTCTCTCTTGAATTGTTCTTTAATATAAGTCAAGATTTGAATTTGTTTCAAATCTTTCTCCACTTCTTCCTATCTACATTTCATTGGAATGTAATGCTTTATAAGTTTGTCTGCATTATTTTTATTTTATCACTTTTCATTGGTGCTTGTGACTTATAGGCAATACATTAAAAAGATTATCTTCTACTGATCTAGATGCTGATGGCCCATCTATCTTATATTCATTCACTTGGAAAGAACCTGCTATCTCAATAAAAGAAGTGGATAGATCTTTGGACTCTTAAATTTACATACACTAGATAATCTAACTGGGAAGTTGAACTTCTAGGAACTTTCTCTACTACCTTGTTGGAGGAACCATGGATAGACTATCAACACTTGGCATTTAGAGTCTTAAAATCTCATCTTAGAGTTTGTCACTTCATAGTAATCAACTTTTTTATATCTTAAAATTCTGTTTTCAAGGTTTCCAAGCAACCTTGGCTTAAATAGATGCTAAATCCCCAAATACATAGTACCATTCACTAATTATTGAGTATCAAGACTTTGGCAGGTTTTCTCCTTCACTCCATTTCTTGTGTGCTACTACATATAGCCACTGACTATAAGTTATCATTTTATGAGGCCATAACTTATAATGTTCTCCATTTTAAATTGGAGTAGGAAAGTACCCCATGCCAAAAATGTTGTCTTTCCATAGAAATGTAATTTAGTCTTCACTTAGACCCTATACTGATTAAGTTTTGAACAGAACGATAAACACCTTATTGGAGTAAACTGATAGCATTTGCAAAGGCTGCTTGTCTTTGAATAGCCAAAACAACACAACTGTAATGATAGCATCTGCTCTAATATTAGTTTAAAGGAAATCATAGTTTATCTTAATCAGTATTTTGTTAAAGTATTTTCGTATCTCACAAATTACTTTGTAAATCAAACAAGATACGTACATCGAATATGAAGGGATGGAATAATTTATATAAGAACTCTTCAAGTCATGAGAACCTTCTTCAGAGATGTTCTCTACGGGTTAAGAGAGCAATCTAGGTAGAGAAACAATCATAGAACAAATAAATAATAAAAGGATATAAGGGAAAGGTGTTAAAGATGCCCCAAAACGTGGCTGCTTAAAAGTCTCATGCTTGTTAACCCTAAAGGAAGAAAAGAGTTTTCAAATAGTCATGTGGAAAAATACAGAAGATTATGCAATTTGAATTAGTCGAACATGAAAGTCTTATAACCTTAATAATGAGTTTCACATACGGTGAAGTGCTCACCCATGAATTAAGGGAATTCTGAAGAGCTATCTATCTTCTCCCTCACACAATAATGAGTTGGCACGGTCCTCTGCTAATGCCTCAAACCTTGCCTTTTTTTTCATTTTTTTTGGGTTCCCGGGAAGCAAATCTTTGTGGAGGATCAGAATTTCGTGCGACTAGAACCTCTTCCAGTCGGCCGTGTTGAGAACGAGAGTCATTGTCGTTTCTGCAGCTCATGTAGTCAATGGCAAAAGAGAGCTCGCTCTCCGCCTACGATAAACCGGTCATTTTTTATCCAGTCCCTCTCGGTAGGTGATCAGAAGTTCGGTTATTGAGGTCACCATCTAATGCCAATTATGGATATGAACTAAGCAGATGGTCAATGAGCTGTCGCTTGTATTTTTTTAGCCTAGGAGCAGTTGGAGAGGAATATGAAGGGAATGGGAAGCAAGAAGGCGTTGCTTCTGAGCTGGTAACTAAAATGATGGACTTAACTTAGGAGATGAACAAACGCTGTAACGAGGATGCGCATTTGCCTACTGGACATGGACACACGAAGCGTGAGACGAGATGAACTACTGTCGAGGGTGGGATGCCCGAGGAGACGTATAGAGCCGCGTTGAGGCCGCACTTCGCCAGCGAGCGAGAGCACCGAGAAGTCGTTTCTTCGCCGGAAGCTGGTGCCGGAGGTGGCGGCCATGGGCTGCGGCTGCATCGCCTCGCTTATCTGCGGCGCCGCTGCACTTGGACTTGGTCCACCGTCTAGGTTCTGTCCCTGCAGAGGTGCTAACCTTTAGTTCCTCCCATTCTCGGACCTACGTCACCTCAGTTTTGACGAAAAACTGGGAATTTGGCGGCGAGTCCGCGAAACGAGTTCTTCAGATTTTGACCCGAATCATTTTTCTACGAGATCGATCGGCCGATGATGCGAGGTGGTAATAAGATAAGATGTTTTGCCCATGATCAAGGTCTCATCTGTTGACAACTTCGATGAAGCGCTGGAAGCATGTGGCTGATTTGATACGTAAAGTCTGCTAAAGGGTAAAACGAATTCTTCAGATTTCGACCAAATTTTCTTTTTTTCTACGAGATCGATCGGTGGACCATGCGAGGTGGGCAAAATGTCACATGTTTCGCCCATGATCAAAGCATTGTCTGTTGACTTCAAGATGAAGCGTTGGAAGCATGTGGCTGACCTGATACGTAAAGTCAACTCTGGGAGACGATGACCGGAGCTGGTTTCAAGTCTGCTAAAGGGTGAAACGAACTCTTCATCTTTCGAGCGACTTTTCTTTTTTCCAACGAGATTGACCATGCGAGGCATCATCTGTTGACTTTTAGATAAAACGCTGGAAACATGTGCTTGACTTAATTAGTAAAGTCAACTCCGGGAGTCGGTGAACGTAGCTGGCTTTAATCTTCAGAAGGATGAAACATATTTTTCAGATTTCGACCGAATTTTGTTTTCTACTAGATTGATCGGTAGACGATATGAGGTGGGCATCATCCCGTTGACTTTTTCAATGAAGCGTTGGAAACATGTGGTTGACTGAAATTCGGGGAGACGGGTGAGCGGGGGCTGGTTTTACTCTCCCGAAGAACGAAGATGGACCCCACAAGGGGGCAGGGGAGGAGCGAGAGGAGGAACCATGGATGACGGCTATACATATAATACTGACCTCCACAGGAAGAGGAAGTGGACGACATGCTCCTGCGACCTCGCCGCCGGCATCTCCATCACTATCGCCGCCGCCGTCGAGGTTCTGGTGAGAGAGGAGATGATGGGGGGGAAGAAGGCGTTGCTGGTAGGCTGCAACTACCCTGGCACGAAGACGGAGTTGAAAGGATGCGTCAACGACGTGGTGAGGATGCGCCGCTGCCTAGTGGAGCAATTCGACTTCTCCGCGGAGGACATCACCATTCTCATCGACACCGAGGAAACCTTCCCCTCGCTGACCGGAGCTAATATTCGCCGCGCCATTGAGAATCTTCCACCGAGCCCCAGGACTTCTTCTTCTTCCATTACAGGGGCCATAGAACTCGCCTACCGACAGAGACCATCGAGGACGACGGCAACGGCTACGACGAGTGCATCGTCCTGTGACATGAATCTCATCACCGGTAGAACATCATCCCCTTCCTCTTCCCTTGATCGATCATTATAATCCTGTGTTTTCTATCATTCAGATGAAGATTTCAGGGATTTCGTCGACAAGGCGCCAAAGGACTATCAGATAACGATCGTCTCCGACTCATTCCACAGCGGGGCGCTCACTGAAGAAAGCAAGAAGCAGACTGGCGAGAGTAGGGCCACCAGCGACGGGAGCATAGCCCCCGCCCGCGAGGGGGACGCAAAGGTGGTCGCATGTGGCGACGGTGAGTGGGAGATGGCAGCCAGCAGTGAGGGCCTCCGCGAAGTGGCCGCCGGCCGCAAGGGACGCGGCAAGACTGCCGGCGGCGGCGAGGGTGACAGAGAGGTGGCCGATGGCGGCGAGGGCAACACTGAGGTGGCCGCCAGCGGCGAGGGATACAGCGAGGTTGCCGGCGGCGGAGAGGTGGCGAGCGGCGGCGAGGGCAACACTGAGGTGCCCGCCAGCAGTGAGGGCAACAATGAGGTGGCCGGCGGCGTCGAGAGAGACACTGAGGCGGCCGCCAGCAGCGAGGGCAACAGTGAGGTGGCCGGCGGCGGCGGGGGCGACAATGAGGTGGCCGCCAGCGGCGAGGGCAACAGTGAGGTTGCTGGCGGCGGCGAGGGCCACGGTGAGGTGGCCGCCGGCGACGAAGGCAACAGTGAGGTGGCTGGCGGCGCCGAGAGCGACACTGAGGCGGCCGCCAGCAGCGAGGGTAACAATGAGATGGCCGGCGGCGGCGAGGGCCACAGCGAGGTTGGCCGGCGGCGGCGAGGGCGACACTGAGGTGGCCGCCAGCGGCGAGGGCAACAATAAGGTGGCCGGCGGTGGCGAGGGCGACACTGAGGTGGCCGCCAGGGCAACAGTGAGGTGGTCGGCGGCGGCGAGGGTGACAATGAGGTGGCTATCAGCGGCGAGGGCAACAGCAAGATTGCCGGCGGCGACGAGGGTCAAGGTGAGGTGGCCGGCGGCGGCCAGGGCGACAGTGAGGTGACTGACGGTGGTAAGGATGAGGTAGCCGGCGGCGACGAAGACTACGGAGAGGTGGCCGACGGCGGCGAGAGAGACCCTGAGGTGGCGGCCAGTGGCGAGGGCGACAGCGAGGAGGTCACCGGCGGCGAGGAGTGTTCTGATTGACTACCCAGAAACTCTGCAGAGAAGGGTGGCTGCTGTTTCAAGGGATGTTTTAGGGCTTGAAGAAGGAAGAAAGGAGTAAGCCCTTCTCCTCTTTCTTATAGGTGTTTCAAGTGGAATTTCGTTTTCAAGCTGGTTGAAGGAGAAGAGTGGAGAATAGTTCTTTTTTCTGTCCTCATTTTTCTTTGGGTCTTCATTGTATTTGCTGTGGATGCAGGAGTTTTATCTCTGAACCACAAAATGGTTTATCACCTATCTGTCTGACGTTTGAGGTGATTCAAAACAGTCTATTATCAGTTAATATTTGAAGCACTATGTTGTTGATTTCCTTGAAAATGATTCTTATTATCAGGAATGTAAAAAGGCATTACTCTATTATGCTTGTGACAATTGATATGTTAATATTGTGGTCATCTGCATAATCATATATTTGATATTCGTGATCCAACTTCTAGTTTCTTCGAGTTTGCTTAGGCTTTGATATTTTCAGAGCTTTTGTCATAATATTTGGTGTGAGAGTCAAACTAGTACTCCTTACTAAATTTACCTTTCATGATATCAATGAAAAAAAATAAAGTTGCAAGATTTAATGGAAAGATTGTTTTCAGTCTGTGACAAGGATTGCACAAAGTTCTTTTATTATAGAAAAAAATATAAAAAATTAGGTAATAAAGATTTACATGAGTTAGGTTTAAAAGTAGTTAGTTATTCCTAGCTGATGAAGTTATATATAGGACCTTTGATGTAGAAATTAACATTGATTTGTGGAAGAAATTAGAAATTTTGTACATGTCTAAGACCTTTATGCCAAGCTATATTTGTAGAAATAACTTTATAACTTACACATGAGTGAAAGGGCATAAATTTCTTAGAATATATGAATTTTCTAAATAAATTTATCTCTGAACTTCATAATGTGAAAGTTAAATTCAACGAAGAAGATCAATCTATGCTTCTTCTTAGATCCATACATTTGTTCTATAATCATTTGGTGACTATGATTTTATATCGTAAAGACATCTTAAAGATGGAAAAGGCTAAATTAGCAAAATATCCAATGATGTTAAAGGTGTTAAAGGTGTTAAAGTTGTTAAAAATGTGAGTCAAGATAGAAGACATTCACAATCTAGTGATGGTAAAAAAATCATTTCCTATCAAAGTTGAAAGGAAATGACGTTTGCTGCTACCATAAAAAGGAATGTCATTAGAAGTCATATTAGACTAAACTGAAGGAAAAATAAAAAGGTAAAGAACTAACCATGGAAGCTAGTGTTGCATCTTATTTGGAAGCCCAAGGTTATATTCTTTCAATCTCCTCAAGCTCTAAGTAATTTGAAACCTAAATTCTTAATTCAAGTTATTCCTATCATGTCCATTTTGAGATTGGTCTGACACATTCAAAATTAATGATGGAAATAAAGTTTTGGCGAGAAATAATTCATAAGACAGAACTATCAAGATAGGAATGATGAAAATAAAAATATTTAGAAATAAATTTTTGTGAGAAATAATTTATAATATATAACTATTGAGATGGAAATGATGAAAATAATTAGAACTTTGACAAATGTGAGACATGTACTTGAATGGAGAAAAAGTTTGAGCTCCTTAGGTACCCTTGCTGTGAATGGCTACAATTATATTATTGGTAACAGTATTTTGAAAATTAAAAGGATGTTTTGATTGTGATGAAAGTAGAAATATTGGGTTACTATAGGTTTTTTGGGACTGTTATATCTAATGACATAGTGACTATGTCCCATTCCAAAAATGAAGATACCACTATGCTATGACATGCTAGGTCAATCGTATGAGCGAGGACAAGATGTTATAATTATTCAATCAAAATTTATTACATCATGTAAAATTGATTTATGTAGGCCTTGTGTTCTTAACAAATAAATTTAAGATCAAGTTTATTACTTCCTTGAGAAGAAGTAAAAATATTCTTGAGTATGTGCATTTAGATATTGGGGGTGTATCTCTAGTCACCTCATTAAAAAAGCCTTGTTATTTTGTTACCTTTTATCAATAACTTCTCTAGAAATGTTTAGATTTTTTCTAAAACATAAATTTGAGGTGTTTGACACTTTTAGAAATTAGAAAGCCAAAGTAAAAAAATAAATTGATAAGTAAATTAAGATCTTGTGCACTGTTGGAGGATCCAACAAGGTTTATAGAGCTCTGAGCAAGGTTATCCAAACAATCCTCATAGAGATTGAGAGGCCAACGTACTGTTTTTCAAAACCCTCTTGATGAATCTATTACACATTGGTAGTATCATTAATACATATAATAGTGGTGTCAATACTACACAAATAATGTAGTAAAGTGAATAATTTTTTTGTTTCCAAAGGAAACACATTATGTTTTGCCTAGTAACTCAACATGTTATGATTAAATTAAGCAATGTGATATGCAGATATATTGTCACTATAGTATTAATCATTATACGTGTGTTTTAATATGTTGAAAACATTTAAACAAAAGATTTCATCTAGGACCAAAGAAGGCCAAATTTTTGGAGAGTAACATCCATTTGCCTGGATGGTCATGTTTACATGCTTCTATGTATATTTCCTACTGCAGCACTGATGCAGAGGATGACTAAGAAAAAGCAGTTTCTATATATAGTTCAATCCACATCTTGATGTTTCTTCCCAAAGTTGGAAGTTTTCGAAATGTCGTCTTTCCTTTAAAGGCTAGAGGGCCTTGGTCTCTTCGGGATGATGGGGACCTGTTGGGTCTCGTTCGTCGAAGTGGTCGTTCCTATTGGGCCTATTGGACAAGTGTGCTTGCGCCGTATTATTTTGCTATTATTTTGTTTGGAGGTGGGGGATATGGAAAGGTTAGTCTATTGGAAAGCATCAACAAACGCCTTCCTTGCAAACGTCACCACTCCCAGGAGGCCTTCTGTTAGAAACTTAGCTCTGTTAGTCCGGAGTATTAAGGAATAAGTACAAAGATGAGATTAGGGTTGACAGCCTGAGTCAGAGTCAAGCATCCACTCTCTTAAATCTATTCTCCCCTTTTTCTCACCTAAAGCTCACCTCTCACTTTATCTCGACTCTCAGCTACTTTCTTCCTTAATTCGAGCATGTCCTTCTCCTTGGATCTCTTCTACAGTGACCTATGGAACACAGCTTGTAAATCGTATCTTCTCCTTGGAGGAGCTAATTACATCTTGCTGTATCCTGGGGACTGCCGAGAATTCGTAATGGGGAGAAGATACACTTGGATTATTTCTATAATAGACGACTCCTAACCTCGTGATTATCAGACAGATCATTGGTGATTGAATCATATTAACCCATTGAAAAGACTCTCTCTCCATTGAAATCATCCGCAAACTTGTTTCATTAACATTCCAAAAGTACGAGACATAATTCTCTCTCGTTTTAAATATTTTTTTTCATTCTGTTTATCATTTCAGATCAGGTTTAGTTAGAGGTGCCATCCCAAAGCTTGTAAAAGCGTTTAGCGAAGAAGGGTGGGTGGGTTTTGCATAGGCCTCTTTCCGGTTTTGACCTACTTCGGCTGAAATCCCGAGACTGATGCTCGTCACAGCGCAGGACCGTCATATCCGTGCATGAATGACATCTTTGCAAATGAATATAACAGGGATATGCAAGATACATCGTACTCTCCCTTAAAACGTTCTGCATCCAACGTTGCCTATTGGGGCCTACCGGGCTGATAATGCAGCTTCGAATCAACCACTCCTTTGTTTTAATTCCCACCAGACGCTACCGGATCATATTCCATCGACTGATAAACAAGACTTAAACTATTCATATCGATGATTATTTTTTTGTGTTCCTGACTTCTTCCATGACAGCTGGAATAGTTAGAGCCTCGGAAAAGTGTTGTAGGTGAGAAATACGTTAGGCGTTCGTTGCCGCCGTCAGATTCCAACGGACTTCGATACCAGTTTAATGGCAGAAACCGGTAATGCCCAGGCTCCGATGCTTCATCCTGTGGATTAGTAAACATAGAAGTGAATCACTAGACACTAATATATATCACAGCGTCTGCGTTCCGGTGCCCTGACGGCGACGTCGCAACTGCAGGGCGATAATTCCAGCCCGCCTCGGATGGAAGACAACAGAGCTATGGTAGTTGGGATTGCGGGAAACCGGAGAAGGATCGCATCCTTCGTCAGCAGGTAACGTCGGAAGGCTTCCGGAGTCCACCCTGGTTGCGACGGTGCAACGAGAGGAAGCCAAAGGTGCCCCAGAAGATGATTCCGCGGTAGGCGGGACGTCAGACAACGCATGTGAGGGGGGGGGCGATCTCCTCGGGTTGATGTGTAGTGCCAGAAAAGGACTGAGTGAGACGGAGTGGGACGGCGTGTTCCCGCTTTACTCGGAGAACGTCGCTCTTTGCTGTGCCTCTGATTGCCTCAACTGGAAGTTTCCTCTTTTCTTCCTCTCCGGAGGGCGTAGCAGACGTAGATCGGGTCATCCTGCGCAAGAGTTGGGGGAGGTTCTCTATTCCCTTCCTTCTCTGTTGCTTCTAAGAGAAGCGGAGGGGGTGGGGAACGGGTGGAAAGTGCTGAGAAATTTGAGGGACGGTGCTGGAGATGTCACGCATCAGATTCCCCATCAGGTTCTTGCCTATTGGCATGTGAGGGGATTCCCAGCCAGCGAGAAAGAAGCAGAGGAATGATTGGGTTGCTCGGCTGGGCCTTTCCTTGTCCACGACCTTGACAAGTTAGATGGAGTGGGAGATGAAGTGGGCTTGTCTTTCGTCGTAATCTTATAAGTACCATAAAAAATGGGATCTTTTAAGCTCTCAAGATGTGTCCACGGGTTTTGATTAAGAAAGCGTAATAATGCATTGCTAAACACTCCGCGTTGTTAGCTTGATCCATGAGGCCTTGTAACATTGGAAAGAGGGCATATCGCGCATTATTGGCTTATTCATAAATGCAGTAAGCCCCTGGGCTTTTTCATAATTCGAGATATTCTGAAGAACATAAAACTACAGAATCTAATACCGATAGACATCCCAAAGTTTTATCCGGGTAACGTAGAGAAGTGGGTGTCCGGTACGGTTACTCATAATAAACTGTAAGAATTGGGGCTTCTGCTTAAATCAAGATGCTTCAATGTGTGAAAAATTCGGAGCTTAACTTACTTGATCTTTGAGGCTATGTGACGTAGAGGGCATGTCCCGTGCTACCAGTTTATTTATAAATCCAAAAAACTTCTCACCCTTTCATAATTTAAAATGTTTCTGAAGGGATTACCGATAGAAAATTTTCTATGATATTACTGAACATTCCGTTAATTTTCAGTTGATCCGTGAGGTACTGTAACTCAATGAAGAGGACGTCCGCGATGTTGTCGGCTCGTTCATAAACTAGTAAAGATTGCATTTTTATTCATTGAGGCTGCTTTGATGAGCTATGAACTAGGAAACCTTGCACTGCTAAATGTGCCCTACGTTATGCAGGAACCATCAGACCGGGTGCCGTAGAGAAGAGGGACATGTCCTGGGCGTCGTTGACTTATCTATGAATCAAGTTATTACTTGGTCTCGTTCGTTATTTAAGTGTTTTCAGAGGTTTATAACAAGATTTTACATTACCTACGTAAGCGTGCTCATTTCAACATGATCCAGAGACCGTGCGACTTCGACATGAGCGCATATCCGACGACGTATTCATGAATCAAGTGGAGAAGGCCTCAGTCATAATTTAACATGCTTTGAGGATATGAGAACGAGAAATCTAGTCATTAATTTTAGGTTATCAATATATTATGTTGCTAAAAATCCTCTAGGCTTAGTTTAGATCAGCGAGGCCGTGTGACGTTCAGGAATAACTCGGATGGCAACATTCTCTGCCGCCATTAAGATTACTCGCTGTATTGTCTTCTCCTGAAACACCTAGCCAGGCCTCTCCCCACGTCCCTACGCAGGGTCAGAGAAGCGTGGTCTTCCCCACACGAGTGGCTTTTACGTACGGCGGAGTTCAACTCCACGTTCTTTTCCATTTCATCCCCATTTCCAGCTCTTCAAATCCTCACATATCGTTTTCTTATTCTGCCCTCCTGGTCCCGCCTGCAACCTCTCCCCCCCCCCGTATTCTATGTATATAAGCCTCCCGGGGACCTCCTCACCCAATCTCTAACTCACCATTGTACCCAACCTTCTTCTTTTGCTCCATCATCGTCATCATCATCATAATCTTCTTCCTCATCGCCTCCCCCTCCACTAGAAGACTGATCCACAGATACGTGACAGAAGATGTGCAGCTCCACCATGAAGGCTCACAGAGCCGGCACAGGGCAGTCCGTGGCCCAGATCGATGGTCGACGGGTACTTCAGCCGGCGTGCAACCGCGTCGTCATCGGCCGGGAAACCGGCCGTCCGATGAAGAAGCTCCACGACCTAAAGGTGAACGCTGCGGCCTCTCCTGCGATTTCCGTGGCCAGTGAGGAAGTCGAAGCTTGCGATTATGGCGGCCAAGTCGTCATCACATCCCGGCCACCTCTCCAGACGCCCAAAACCGTTCACAGAAGGAGCGACGATCCCAAAGGCCTCAACTCAAGCGCCGAGAAGCCTGTCTCGCCGTCAGCCGTGCTTAAGAGCTTGAAGAAATCTGCGCAGGCGTGTGCCCATGTCCACGCGATCCCGTCCTTGCCGGCGCAGCAGGGTAAGGCGGCGGCGCCGGGGAGTATCGCGGCGGCGCAGAGGGAGCAGGCAACGTTCATTCGGGCGCAGAGGAAGATGAAGATTGCCCACTACGGCAGGGCCCCGGGAAAGATTTCTCCCGTCGACTCCTCCTCATCCCGTACTGAAGCCACCGGGGGCGGAGCACAGGATGAGAAGAGGTGCAGCTTCATCACGTCCAACTCAGGTACTTTCAATCTTGGTTGTATCGGAGGAACTAAGCTACCAGGCCCAAGAATTCTATTGGCTGATCTTCGCCTGTTCGACGAGCAGATCCCGTCTACGTCGCCTACCATGACGAAGAATGGGGAGTGCCCGTCCATGATGACAGGTGTGCTCTTCAGATGTCACAAGACCTCTTTTGTCTAGATTTCCAGAGAAAACTTATCTAAATTCGTAAATTTTTCTTCCCTGCAGAATGCTGTTTGAACTAATGGTTATGGCCGGAGCTCAGGTGGGATTAGACTGGACGACCATCCTCAAGAAACGGGAGGATTTCAGGTACTGATCATGAGGAAAACATGAATCTTTATCTCCGGGTACCTTCTTCGTAGGAGATGGCGTTGGTTCTGAGAGCGTTGGCATGCATACAGATCAGCGTTCGCGGGATTCGATCCGGAGGTGGTGGCGAAGTTCACTGAGAAACAGATGGCTGCTATCTGCTCCCGGTTCAGGATGGACATAGCGAGGGTCCGTAGTGTCGTCGACAACGCTAACTGCATACTTGAGGTTTTTTCGATAAACCTCTCTCTCTCTCTCTCTCTCTCTCTCTCTCTCTCTCTCTAAAAGCTGTCTGAGACCTTCTCTTGACAAAGACTTTCTATAGAATCTTGCACACCTAGGATAAGCTAATGAAGAGAGCCGTTATTTACAGCCGACCCGTCACTGCCTGGCCAACTATACGCCATCTCTGACTTTAAGATTAGAAGTCAATTGAGGGGACTTCTCCCTAGTTTACGTCATTCTCTACCACAGCTTCATTCGCAAGAAATCTCTATTCTGAAAGAATAGGCTTCCATTGACCCAAGCCTTACGAGCGAGAACAAGCCCCTGGCTCGCTCCACAGGAGCCTGATTATAAAAACCAGATTATCACAGCTGTCATGCAACCTTTCAACTAAATTCGCTCGTTGACCGGGTTTTTCTGGATTAAACTACTCATTCTGGCTTTTATTTCCATGTGCATGAATAAAGTAGTCTCTTAAAGCGGCACAACATGCATTAATAGGAGCTCTGTCCCTCTCGATCGATATACGTCTTCCAAACCGAATTTTGCAAATTTCAATCAGAAACTAATCATCGTGTAATAGAAATACCGTCGACGATACTTGTATTTACGCATGAGATTCAGCAGTTTCAGACCTCTTTCCTTCATAGAAATTATGAGCTGTAAGGAAAGAATGCTAGTCGTAATGGCGCTGAAGAGCGAAGAACTGGTCTTTCTTTATCTGAGAAATGATTAAGGTTTTCTACGGACTTGCAGGTTAGGAAGGAGGTCGGATCGCTGGATGAGTACTTCTGGGGCTTCGTGAACCACCGGCCCATTTCCACCCGGTACAGCAGCTGCCGGAATATTCCGGTGAAGACCTCCAAATCCGAGGCCATCAGTAAGGACATGGTGCGCAGGGGCTTCCGCTTTGCCGGCTCCGCCGTCATCCACTCCTTCATGCAGGCGGCTGGCCTCACCAACGACCACCTTCTCTCCTGCCCACGCCACCGCCAATTAATCCAGCCCAACTGCGCCACCACCGCTACCGCCACCACCCCACCCACCGCCCCCACTCCATAGCTCTCTCCCTCTCTCTACGCCCCCCCTGAGAGGACCCAGTGGAACACAGAGGGCGAGACTTAGAGAGATAGAGAGAGAGTGAAAGAACAAGAGAAATAGAGAAACCCAGATAAAGGAGACGCCGTCTTTAACCTAAAACTATCCGTAATCTCTTCCCATGACTAACGCGATCCATACCATCCAATCTCTTCGTGTGTTTGTGGCCTTGTCCGTGTAAAGATTGCTACTTTTGCGATGTCATGGGGCTCTCTTCCCTTTCCCAGTTGAGGAACGCAGGATACATGATACTGTGGATAGAAAAGGATTGCACCCGAAGACGGCGGGGGGAGCATGTGAGGTGTTGCTGGGGGACAGCTGCCTGTGGGTTGTCGGACGGCGGCGGAGGGTCCCCCCATGTGCCAGAGGCCGGTGGCCCATTATGCCCGCCTTTTGTTCGACGATATGCCCGTCCTAAAGGACAGAATTATTAGTGCGGCTGGGGCCTCCACCATGTTATCTTCCCCTTCGCTTGATTTGAATGGTGTAACGATTTAGCATCGTGCATTGGTCGCTATTGCTTATATACTGAACAACTGTTTTCTCCACTTGGTGGGCACACCTCTCCCTCCGTTTCCACTCTAAAGCTGTGTCTCCACCGTCATCTTCCATCCACATCAGTCCCGGATGGGTTATGGTCACAGCGCCACCCTTCTCTCTCTCTCTTCTCTCTCAGAGGGGCCTTGTGCAGAGGAGATTGAAGAAGATGATGCATTAAGGGATAGACGAAGCTCAAGCATCTGCGTTGGCTTGAGTTAAACGAGTATACGGGGAATATGTAAAAGAGTGTTAAGGGGTAGGCAGCCCCAGCCTAATCTCCAGTGATGCACCTGCAGTTTCTTCCAAGCATTCATGGAGGCCTCATGAAATGTAGGAAAAATGCCCCAGGAGACAACCCATTAATTATATGGATAAAATTGTAGTAACAAGCTGAAAGATAGGGTAAAGTGAATCCAACAACAATACAATGAAGTACCTTTAAGCTCAAGAGCAAGATCTTATAATCTAACCAAAGAAACTCATTGCATCATTCTATCAAAGAATGGGTGCCTTTTCTTTCATGACCCTCATAGGGGCTTAATCATGAAAATGTCTTAAAAAGGAAATGTTCATTTGACATTCAACAATGCCTCTTCAAGTAATGAAGCGAAGAACGCAGGAAGATCAGATGACAAATACATAAACCTTTATGGAAAACTCTTCATAGATTCTGAACAAATTCTTCAAGTACTAAGGCTTTGGTTGATGAGGCTCAGGTATCTCCAATGGGTGGGTGGTCTTTATGTAGAGACAAAGGAAGTAAGTTTGAAAATTATAGCTGAGCATGAAATCCATTATTACCATCATTAATAGGACTTAGAAATCATAAATGCATATACTTTATTTTTATTTCACACTTTTATGATTTATGTTGCACATAAAATATACAGTGCTCAAACTCCAATGCTTCAATCTCTCACTTTTCATGCTCTCTATCTTTACCTAAATTCTTTAGGACGTGAACAAAATTGACAGGTAACCTTGAACTTGCTTGTGCCAACAATTGAATTATTTAAATTCTCTTATCGTTTTCTATCTATGACATCATAACTGAAAGTAATTATTAACCATAGAATCCTATTGAAAGGAGAAACATGATTCAATGCAATCAATTCATGTTCTTATATAGACTCAATATAGTCAGCAATTAAAAGGAAGGTTTAAGGGAAAAATGAAACTGAATGTTATGAAGCATTGGATTGGAGTAGCCTTAATAAAAACAAGACCTTTTAAGATGGAAGATTATCTTTCCAATGGACATCAAAGAAATTTTACCTTTTAAAATTTAAATTATTGATATTGACTTTTTTAAAATAAAGTTTAGATCAACATCTCACCTTATTGCTAAGGCAGTATGCGAATGATCCATAAATTGCTATGATATAGATAATCATCAAAGAACAAATTGCAAGAATAGAATCATTCCTATGTACACTGATGATAAAGAGAGAACAAGAATACCATGGGAATCCAGCAAGCATTAACCTTAATGTCATGTGAAGAAGGGATTTCAAGTCTTCTTAATCAATACTTCATGGTATGCTTCTTATATATGGCTCCCATTTGAAAGTGTTGAAAGAGAGTTTCTCAGCCAAACATTGGAGAAGGAAGAACCCTAAGTCACCTTCTTCTTGAGACTCAAGTGGAGGCAAGAAAGAATGATTCAATCCACTTAAGGGTAAATCAGGTCTAGTCTTTCTATACCAAAATCAATGGTTTACATTGGGTAGGGTCAATTTCCAGTAAGTTGGATTGAATCAAATAAAGTTGAAAAATAGAGGTACAATAAAAGAAAAGTAAAATTACAATAAATAAAAGTAAGAGAGAAAAAAGACACTTTCTTATGTTTCAACATTTTCCCTCAAGCTAGAGAATAGATGTTATTCATTCTCAACATGTAAATGAGATTCTTGAATGTTAGACAGCTCAACCCTTTTGTATGGATGTTTAAAAGTTGATTCTATATTGACACAATAAGGCATACAAACTAAACCACTTTCAGGTTTTTTCTTTGATAAAGTGACAATCAATCTCAATATATTTTGAACAGTCATATTATACCACATGATGTATCATATTAATTATAGACTTGTTATCATAATATAGTTAATAAACTCATCACACTTACTTCATATCTTCTAAATAATTTTTACAAAAGTAGTTCACATACACTTATTGGGATATTACTCAAAATTCATAATCTTCATTTGATTGTGTTACCATGTTTTTTTTCTTGATGTCATATCACAAGATTACTATCAAAGAAGGTGCAATAACCTAGCGTTAATCTACATAATTGACATCTATATGTTGTATTGTTCTAAAAGAAAATACCTTCCTCTGGTTTTTCCTCTACATTGTGTCATGTTCTACGAGCTACAAATAAGTGTCTTTCTTTTGGTTTATGCATAAATTAACTAATTACACTCAATGCATATACCATTGAATCTATGATTTAGATCTATTATAATATGTGTTGCTTTACATGCAATTTTTCTTATATCTTTGAGAAGATAAATAATAAATTCTTGTTGCAAGATAAAGATATATTTTCTTGAGAGGGCTATCATATTTTATCATTCTTAGTGTTCACTTGTCAAAATCATTTAACATACACTTAGTCAAATAGTATCATTCTTCCTCATCATTTCTAATCATTTTGTCACAAATCATCCATGATCATTCTACCAAAGAACCGGCATCTATTTTTTAGGCTGCTAATAGGGGCTTAATCATGGGAATCATGGGCTTAATCTATTTCTTAAAAGAGAAATGATTCAATAAAAGGTCCAAGAAAGTGGAAAATTGTCAAGATGTTTTTTGCAAGAAGGTTGGACCAAAGTGGAATCTTTTGATGGGGGGAAAAAAATCAAGTCTTCTTCTACTGGAAAGGATAGCCATATTTTTCTCTTGAAGTGAATGATACAGATACTAATTCTCTTGCAGTTTTTCAAAAATCCTTTTCATTTTCTTTCACATTTGAATAGAAAATTATAAAGTTAGTCTCTCTATCCCTCTCTCGCTACATATCCATATATATATAGAGAGAGAGCAGCCATACCTACAAAACGTTATTCTGAAGTTTTGCAACCTGGTAAGAAAATACAAAAGAAAATTACTGAATTAACGCTCAAACCCCAGAAAGAGCCAGTAAATGGGGAAGAATTCTTTCAAGGGAAGAGAAAAATTTCCAAGACACAGACAAACAAGAAAAAGAGAAATTTTCATAAATCTGTTGCTAAATGACCTTATAAGGCTGAGACTCTATTGTGTAAATATTGGTCTTTCAAAGGAATTTAAAGCTACTGGATGAAGTTCTAGGTTACTTATGTCCAAGCCCACCATTCATTTGACATTCGGCGATGCCTCTTTCAAGTAATGAAGTGAAGAATGAAGGAAAATCGTACAATAATTATATAAAGTTTCATGGAAGACTCTTCAATGTAAACTATTGATATTGACTTCAGTGAAGTTTAGATCAACCACCTCACCTTGTTGCTAAGGTGGTAAGAGAATGATCCATAAATTGCTACAATATAGATAGTCATCGAGGAACCAGTTGTGAGACCAGAGCCATCCCTACTCACACTGATATAGAACAAGAATTACCCTGTGAATCCAAAACAATTTACACCCTATGCTTACAAAGTAAGGAGGAGTTTCAAGCCTCCCTCAATCAATGTCTCCACATATATGGTCTCCCATTCAAAGTGTTATTTTTTGGCATCTAGTAGATCTAGATAGAGACTATAGAGCGCTATGGGATTGGAATTTCAAGACTAAAGTTGGTCAGGAAATAATTAGAGTGAAGGCATTGAAGCTTTTCATCACATCTCCTAGGACGCACTTCTAACACTGTTCGGAAATATCCACTATGAAAGCCGGCAAGAGTCCTGTCAGAGGAATTATCTTTAAACAGTAGATGCATTCTGTGGAAATGTGCAGGGAACCAACCACTGTATATCACAAGCTCGTTATGGTGATTAGAATGGTTGAAGCTATTAAAATTTAGGAGCACGTAAACAGAACATTACAGCTCGAATCTTCAATAACAATAGGAGATTTCACAACAAAATGGCTCTGTTTATCAACAACAGGGAGACTAACCTTTAAAACAGCCGTATTGCTGATTTGGAAGGACAACTGCAGTGGCATCTCTGTTTGGGCGCACATCTCACCTATTAAACTCCATCTCTCCGATCACATCAGGCTTAGATCAGAAGTGCATCACCCAGAAGCTCAAACTCACATCATCGAGATATATTGTTGCAATGACCTTTAAAAGCCACTAAGTTTTTGGGATAGGATCCAATTTGGAATTGCCTTCGCTGATTAGAGATATCTTTAGTAAATATCTCAACCTAGAACTCATGAAAACTTTTACTTTTTCTTAGTATGAGATATGAACACGTTAAAAACTTTATGCCCATCCAAATCAAATCACCAAGGAGCAGGACTCTCATCCTCTGGAATCCGTTATTAAGAAGTACTTTAAGAAATGGAGGCTAGAAACATCTCACTAGATCCAGCTTGAATGCAGGACTAAACCATGAAGATCCATGAAATCCAACAGAAATCCCAAGTTGTGGTCTGCTACCTGCGACCAGCAATAAAAAGCGTGTCAGACCCAGCAGTAAACCAGAACACTGATCATCCTCAGTTGATATGAACTTCATATGTAGAGCAGCGAGTGATGCATTTGACATCTTTATCAGAAAAACTTTTTTTCTGTGCACACGATGTTATCTTATATACTTAAGTAATCCAAACTGGCAGTCACTGAATAGGAGCTCAACATCTGAAAACTGATGGAATTAGCAGAGATCTTCTACGATAATTTCTGCTCAATCTATATGATCATTCTGAATATCGCCAAAGCGTGGTCGTCACAAATCCAGAGCATTTTCTCCCTGGGGAGTGGAAAACAGAGCGTGTAAGAAAGACCAAAAGCAGCCATTTCTTTTCATTGTTCTGAAATCTATTGATATCCCTCACAATAATTTCCCTATCAGAGGCAACTGAAATGCACGTAAAGGCTGCATGGCAATCGTCACAAATCCTCAGATTCTTTGTTACCCTGATAACAGTACCAGGAGCCATATGAAGAAGCCCAAATGGAACAGCCAGCTTCTTGCTATGGGTCATCAAGTTAAACTCCTCTTCACTCACATCATGAAGAACCGCAGCTGTGTTGGGCACATATCCAGCTTCCCTGATCCTCCTAGGGAGCTCTTCCAGGAGCGCCATATATCTCTGCCACCTGCTGGTGAGACGTATCTCCATTAAGAAAAGAATGGACTCTCCCATGAAGTTCGATCCAACTGCAACCCGGGTTCTTTGGCATGCTCTTATCTTTTACAGCAGCTCTCAGTGAATCCACTGCCTGCCATCTTCTAGCCTCTGCGTACATGTTGGAAAGCAGCACGAAATTCCCAGTGTTTCCAGGCTCCAATTCGAACAGTTTCTCTGCTGCAATCTCTCCAATCTCAAGCTCACGGTGCCACCGACAGGCTGCCAGCAGTGCGCCCCAAACACTGGGCCCCGGCTCAATGGGCATGTGGTCAATGAGCTTCTTCGCTTCAGCAAGCCGCCCTGCTCTGCCCAGAAGGTCAACAACACAGGCATAATGCTGCAACCTCGGTTTCACAGAGTAGAGGCTCTCCATGGCATTGAAATACTTCAGACCCACGTCAACTAAGCCCGAGTGGCTACACCCAGAGAGCAAGCCAATGAAACTGATCTCATCAGGCGGTGTTCCCGATTTCACCATATCATCAAACGTGGATAAGGCATCTGCTCCCCGTCCATGGAGAGAGTACCCGGTGATCATGGTGTTCCAAGCGACCACATCCCTGTCACCATCCCTTAACTGGTCAAAGCAGCTGCGAGCCTTCAGGAGGCTTCCACACCTGGCGTACATAGCCACCAGCGCAATGCAGACGCAAGGATTTCTTTCCAACCCCACGGAGCTAGCAAATTTATGAATCTTCTCCCCATATTCCAAGGCAGAAGAGTGGGCACAGGCCGGAAGAACACTCATGATGGTGACCCAGTTGGGTTTAACGTCGCTCCCCTCTCCCATCATCTCCTCAAACAGAGCCAGCGCACGGTCAGCGAGCCCATTCTGAGTATACCCGGAAATCATGGCGGTCCACGAGACGATGTTCCTCTGGGGCATTTTTCCGAACAGCTCCTCTGCAACTCTGATTTCGCAAGTCTTCATGTACCCCGCGATGAGCGCGTTCCAGGTGGAGACATCCCTGAAGGGAACCAGCTCGAACACGCGGCGGGCATCAGGAACGTTGCTGCACTTCACGTACATGTCGATGAGAGAGGTGGAGATGTGGATATCAACTTCCAGGCCCAGCCTCGAGCACAAAGCATGCACAGATCTCCCCATGAATACAGCCTCGAGGTTGGCGCAGCACTTGAGGACAAAGGGGAAGGTGAAGTGGTCAGGCTGGAGACCCATTGAATGCATCCGGTAAAAGAGGGGGAGGATCTCTTCGTGCGCCCCGAAGAGGGAGTGCCCTCTGATGAGGGCATTGTAGAGGCGAGCAGATGGGTCGAGCACCTGGTGGAAGAGAAGAGTTGCAGAGCAGAAATCCCCCGATCCACAGTACATGGCGACCATCTTGGCGGCGAGGTAGGCGGTGGGGGTGAGGCCCCGGAGGACGAGGTGGGCATGGAGCTGCCGCCCCTGCCGGAGGGAGGCGCCACCGCCGCTGCCCCGCCGGGTGAGGATGACCTGAAAGGCGGCGGCGTAGTCCGCCGGCCGGGGGGGGAATGGAGGGAGCTTGACTTCTTCATCCGATGATGGGTCAGCAGAGGG